TTAATAAAGCAGGCATCAGCAGCTATTTATTTTCTATTTCTTAAGGGCCACAGAGCCTTAAAAATAAATATAATTTAAAAGGAAAGACAATAGAGAATGACAGTTACTACAGCAGTTATATATATATTTTTGCCTGCCTCTCTCCCTCCTTGGGTGAGTCTTAACAAAAACCAAAATTATTATTCTTTTTTGTGATTTTGTAGCCACAGAGATGTAAAATAACTATTTAGTATCTCCAAGATATTATAATGTTTGAAAATATGACCAGTCTTTGGCATTTATTATACAAATTTTCATTAGTATATTGTTGAACATATGCACCCCATGATTTTTTCAGTGGTTTTATGGAAGACCTTATGATTTTAAGGTTTTTAATGGTATTAAGGAAAGATGCTGGCACCTACAGAAAGAATATCAGCCTAGGTCTGTCTAATTAAACCTTTTCCCAAGATACCTTATTGACAGTTGTGTAATGATCTCATTCTGTTATTCCCAGTTCAGAGGGTTTTTTTTAATGTCTTATAGTTTACAGGTTCATTAATGTATTTGATTGATATAATAGCTAAATAATTATTCGTTTTACTCTGTGGCTTCCAGAATATCATGCTCAAGTCCATGACTTGAAGGACTTTGGATTGTTAGAAACAAATGTCCTGAATATCTTTGAGTGCATGTGAACTAAGTTACTTAAATCGTGTCTGACTCTTTACAATCTTATATTCTGTAGCCCGCCAGGCTCCTGTGTCCATGGGATTCTCCTGGCAAGAATACTGGAGTGGGTTGCTGTGCCCTCATGCAGGGGATCTTCCCAACCCAGGGATCAAACCTGAGCCTTTTATGTCTCCTGCATTGGCAGGCGGGTTCTTTACCACTGGCATCACCTGGAAAGCCTGAATATTTTCTTATCCTGACCTAAAACTAGTAAAAATAAATGGAGCTGCTGAGTAAATGGAATCAGATCTTATGTCCTTGGTAGATATATGAGAAGAAAGATCACATTCCATCATTTTTGTTCACTTTCATGGACAGTGGCTTCCATTCCCTACTTAACATCCACCAATAATAGTGTTTTGATAAATTAATGGAAGCCAAGTGCTGGGCCATTCTCTGTAGGGGAAATGATACCTCAATATGGTTTGGTGATTTCATCTAGTCAGATTAAACTCCTGAACTTCAACAGTTGCTACTTAACCTATTTTCCCTAGAGCCTCCTATCTCTTTTTCTTGCATCTCCACTCTCCCAGTTACCCAGGCCCAAAGCCTTGGAATTATCCTTGATTCTTCTCTTCCTCTCACATCCCACATCATACCACATATGGATGACATGGGTTCTTCACTGAAGACTTGGAAATGTGCTTGCTATGGAATGGATTAATGTCTGTCTCAGGGCAGTTTAGTCTGAGCTGAAAGGTTTATTTTTTTAATTTAATTTTTACATTTTATTTAATTTATTTTAAAATTTTTTCTTAAGTAATACAATTCTAATTTAATTAATGAGCGGTTTCTTGCCATTTTGCAGGCAAACATGAAAGTGTGTTTATATGCCCAGTTTTGATAAAGGCAGTGCTTTTGTTTTAAATATCAAAGTTTATTTACTCCCCTTTATTGTTTGTAACTTTTGACATCATTTTTCATTTTTAAAAGGTTGTACTCCATTCACAGTTATTATGAAATATTAGCTATATTCCCTGGAAATGTACCCCATTTATATGGGAAGAACTGATGTTGACATTTGCTCCTACACAAAGGAACCCTAAAAAAATAACACTAGTACATTGTTAATTTGGAGAAGGAAATGGCAATCCACTCCAGCACTCTTGCCTGGAAAAATCCCATGGTCAGAGGAGCCTGGAAGCCACTGTCCATGGGGTTGCAAAGAGTCAGACATGACAGAGTGACTTCACTCACTCACATTGCTAGTAAACATAACTAGTAGATTACTGCAATAACCCAAGTAAACTAGATAAGATTTCACACCTAAACTTGAATCTCATTGTTATAAAGTCATTCTTCTGCATCAAATAGCTGACTCCTTAAAGACTGTCACTTTTCTTCTGGAGTCTACAAGCTCCTACTCCAGAACACTTTGCCCTACAGACCCTTGTAAACGCGCAATAAATGCTAGTTGAATAAAAGAATTTTCAGTTTCCAAAGGAATGACCCGGTGCTACAATAATCCCTTCATGAGCTTAATGTGGGTCAGAGGAACAGGTGATATCATTCAGCTCTTTCAGCTACTTGGCCACTCTGATCCTGAAGAACCATAAAATATTTTCAGTGCTATAGACTGAAAAAGAAAGCCTGGAACAACATTCACTTTTCTGAACGATTCCAGTGCCTCTAAAATGTGACATTTTGCTGTTGTTTCCTTTTACTGTTTCTAATTACTGGGTCTATTTGCATGAAATGAGGATCTGGGTTGCCTAGGAGTTCATCTGCTCCTATTTCATATTCTTCTCTTAAATAAGCATACTTTGGTGTAGTTTTGCTTGTTGCCTTCAACATTTAGACAGGACCCCCGCCCCCCCAACTGTCCCACTCTCCTCCCATCACTCCCCAGGAGAGAGGTTATTTTTAAAGTATATAATCAATAGACTTTGGGAAACATCCAGAACATGAGAAGGTCATATGATTGGGAGCAAGCTACCAGGGATTGCTGAGAGAAGGGATGGCAACAAGCCATGCCAAAAATTGTCTGAGAAGGAAAGACAGTCGGTAACTCGCATTTAAGTGTTCTGAGTTATTCTTTTGCACAGGCTTTGTTTGGGAGGGGTTTTTTGTCTTGGTTCTTCAGCATTACTTTGAGTTTCAGTAGCTTTTCAGACTAGATAGTGTTACATTAAAACCAAGCTTCATCCGAGGCTCTTGATGGAGTCTTCAATCTCCTGGTCATGGTGCTGCTATGTAGTTCCTGATGCTGATGCTGCCTTTGCTGAAGGTTTGAATCAAGAATAAGCCAATTATGGTCACAATACCTATAGAAACAATGGCTCTATAGCTCCTGACTCAACTGACAGACAAAAGAAACACTGTTAAACAAAGAATGAACCTACTGAGAATGTGCAGATTATCATGCACAGATGAGTATCGCTATTGGAAAGTCACCTCCAGAGGAGTGAAGAGGCTATTTCTGCAATAGTGTCCGTTACATCACTCAGAAAACATAGCTCTATTTTCTTCTCTACTGGCAACCACAGCAGAGCTATCTCCTCTTATGGAGTTTTATTTAATGGCAATTTATAACTATCCTTCCTGTAAGTTAGAAGATGATCCATGACTCCAGCCCTGCATTTTCTCTCTTCTGGTTATCAGATGAAATTGATTTGTCACTTACCTCCTTGGCTGGGACATTTCATTTTGCTGTTTTTGTTTCATAGGATTGTAATCCTTCCTAAAGATTTGCTTGTATCTCTATTATTTAGTATTTTCCTCCATTTCATTATTTAACTTTAATCATGTCTAGTGAGTTGATTATTAAAAATCAGTTTAGCATTTTGTGTGAATTTTTGCTTTGGCTATGTGTGGTGCAAAAGAGCTGCGTGTCAGCCTTTGCTATTTGTCCTCAGCTGTTCCTATATTATGCCACTGATCAGACCTTAGTCTAAGGCTAATCTTGTATCATTAAGATGCCTTCCTAAGTGAATTCTTCTTTGACTGAAGAAATTTGGTGGTAGCATTAATTGCAAGTAAAGACCATGACTTATTGTTGAACATAAAATATCTTCTGAGAAGTGTCTGTCGTCACTACTGTGAACTCTCAGTAGTGACATAAAGACTTTTGTCCCCTGCAGATCCAGTCACAGCTAGTGACAAAGGCATATGTCCACTCTGAACAAAAGAACACTTATTTTCCTATTCCATGGCTGACATTGAGTGATAACATTTTTGCATATCATAAAAATTTTTATGCATATGCTGTTTAAAGGCAAAAAGTGCTTTTACAATAATCTTCTTTGTGAATAGAATTTAAACTCTGTATGTGCTGCCTCTTCAATATGGCTATCAAGCTCTGAATAATAACCTTTGACAGTGCTGAGCAGAAACAAAACCAGAGGTTGTTTCCTCTGTCCACGGCACCATTGTTCATTATTTTTACTGTTTTGGACTTAGGCTCATCCACCTTAAATAAAATATGTAAATTAATATTTTAAATGAGTTAGTAGACTGTGGTTTAAAGAAATAGTCTGCTCTGATTTTTGCCATGGCAAGTCACAGATCTTTGTCTCTGGCTGACTCAACCTGTGATGAACAGACAGTAGTTGACAAGGGGGAAAAAATCTGCCAATTAATATATTATCTGATATTATTGTACCATTAAATTTTTATGAAACTTGTATATGCCTTTAGAAAAATGGAGCTAATCTGAAAACAAGACCCTGAGGATGAGGGGAGGAATAAACAGAAAAAAACATTCTTTGTCTTGAAAGAACTGTTAAATCACCTATCTCTACATTGTCAAGGTAAATCATATATGGTAAAATTTAGGCTGCATATAATATGTATAGAAATAGTTAAAATAGGAAATGTCAGCTTTTAAGCATTTTTGTAAGGTTCTTTGACGCTGAGTAGCTGGTTAGAATGAAATATTCTCTATTTTAATGAGTTAATTTGGTTATAATAACCAAAATGGTTTGTACATGTGGATATAGCTTTGCTAACAATTTTCTTTAAAATACAATGAAATGACCCAACAAATCCTAAGTCGACTTACTGCAGAACAGAATTTATTTTGGTTGAAGTTATTTTGAATTGAACTGACAGGCTTATGATTAACATGTTTTGCAAATTGTTGAAGGTGATGAAGCAGAGAAATCCTTGCACAACACTCTATAAGGTGCTGTAACTGTATATCTTTAACAAACAATGTTCGTTTTGACAAGTTTATTGAAAAAATTTAACTGCACAGAAAACTTACAATGAAAGTAACAACAGTAAAAACCAGTTATTAACAGTTGTGCTGTCGTTTAAAGAATTGCTGTGTTTTTTTCTTTCCTCAACAGTGCAAATCCAAGTGGAGGAGAAAGAAGATGATACTGAGGAAAGTTCAAGTAAGTGGGGATGGACCCAGATGGGATATGTTTCCTCTGGAATAGCAGCGAATTTAGGGGATTCATCCTCTTATCTTGTGGGAATATGAGACCCTGTGCAAACACGGAGCACAAGTGGATGACTTTCAGTGGTCTCACAAGAGCAATCAAGTCCATGAGATAGACTCTTCACTTGAGATTGCATTCAACTGGCCCACACACATTCCACCCAATTTATAAATTGCTCATATTAAGTGGATGGTGGTCCAGAAAAATTTGCTTTTTTATTTCTTTACTATTTTCTTTGTCCTAAAACATTTTCCCTTAGGTTGAATCTATTACAATATAACAGATTGGCCTTTTGACTAAAGTGATCAGATTGCTCAGTAAAAATGAATAAACCTGTTCTTTTAAATTCATGAATATTTTGTCTAAATTGCCCTGTTGTTTTTACTTTGAATAGGTTCAGCTCAAGAACCTAGATTGTGACCCTTTCCCAGGCATGCAAACCACTCATGGACTAGAACAGAGAAAGATCATTTTATGAGCAAAAGTTTTGAGTTTATCAAAACTGAAAGTGCACCATTTCAGGGAGAGTTCAATTAGAGAATACATCAATACTATCAATTAAAAACCTGAGCCCAATATGACAGCCAGCAAATGTTCATGGTGACAGTTGTTTTCATTAATTTGGTACATTCTGAATGTAAACAGCCCAGAGTCTCACATAGATCCTAGAGGCTCTGACTAGTCTACTATAGGGAAGGAAAAGTAACTTTTCCTTTACCCTTCTGAGTTTCTTAACTGATACTCCTGTAATCTAAGACAGTTTAACAAGAAAACCAAGCCAAAATAGAAGTTTATTAACACATACACCTCATGTATACATGGATGATACCCAGAAAAAACAATAATTGTGTGAGGTGGCTTAAAATTTAGACTTAAATGCCATCTTAATAGGGAAAAGGGATGGGTATGCAGGTCTCTTGGAAGAGAATAAGTTTTAAGAGAATAGATAGGAGGTATGATAGTTTATGATAAAATATGTCTGCATGTGGTGTTGACCTATAGTCTCCTCTATAGAATACTTCTATAGTGTTCCTTGGGGATGAAATTCTTGGGGAGGGGATTTATGACAGTTGAGTTCCTTTTGGCAGCTGTTTTCAGGCAGACAAGAGGAATTCAGAGAAAATCTCTTTCTGCATTTGCTGTTTTTCAAGTGCTATGTCTCAAAATAGTCAATACACAGAAGTGGCATATTTTGGGTGGTATATTCTGAATGTCTTTTTGAGGTGGTATATTCTGCTGCTGTTCAAAACTAAATTGAGCCCATTCCAAAAGGTAATGTTTATGCAAATCCACATTTAGTAGGCAACTGTAAAACACTCCTTTTTTAAAAAATTTGAATATTTGGAAACTAGTGAAAACACTAAAGACAGCCTTTTTGTCCTAAGTGCTAGAAGATAAATATAATGATATACTTTTCATCCGTGGTAAAACTCTACAAGTTTAATACCTTAGCTTTAATGTAAAATATACTAAAATGCAGAGTACCAAGTGGCTTCTTGAATTTTTGAGTTATTTGAGGGTGAAATTGTTTCTCAGTTCCTATGAGGCTCTTGTTCTCTCTATGATTAGTGACTAAAATGAACAATAAAGGCTGGGTAGATTTTCAAAATGCCAGAGTGGGGTTTGAATATCATGCAACATCTGCCACGGTATTTAACAAGTTTTTGGTCTTGATGACAAGAGTACAGTTTTCAAAACGTAGTTAGAAAAGTAATTCTCCCGGTTTTCTCTGCTAGTCAAACTTTAGTAATATTGGTAATGTTTAGATCTTATTTAGATTTGGAATATCAATAAAGGTTTAACAAGTAATGTTGAAAAGATAACAAAATTTATAAAAAAATAAAATGACACACACTATGTAAAAATGAACATACTTAACTAATAAATGAGGAATCTGGTGAGCCATTTATAGCAGTTACCAGTTCAAAGGAAAATTCAAAGAACAGATTCATGTATAGATCAGGAATATTGAACTGATTGTGCAAGGGAAGACTTGACTGTTTTGTGGGGTTTTTTCCTTTTCTTTCTTTTTTGGTGGTGGAAGGTTGTTGGCACTGAAAAGAGTTCACTTGCTTGTCTACAGACAAGAACTATTTTGCATTGCTATCTAGTGATCCACAACTTACAAAGTTACAAAATAGCTTCCATAGCATCAGCATCAGACAACACAGAAGGATATGGTACAGACATTTCATAGTTTTCCATTAAAGCACAATTTTTTCCCTATAGTAGCTTCTATTTTAAAAGATAGTGATAATTATGAGTAATATTTGTTTTTTTAAAGTAACAATTAACTCTAAATATCAGAAGTTAAAAAGCAAAAGTGAATGTGAAGTAGGATTGTCTGTTATAAGCAGTGAAGGAAGGAACTGAATTCTCCCCCTACTCTTTACCAGAAGCCTTCCAAAGAAGTTATGGATATATGAGGCATAAATTGTCAGTTGGTGAATAAAATAATATTATTTTCTCATCTTGTATTAAATTTACTAGTTGTCTATTTCTAATCAAAAAGAATGATCAAGCAAAGTTATTTACTATCAATTTCATCTACGAAAGAGAAAGAAATTTAGGAAAAATAAGTATCTGAAGTTAAGAATGAAAAAGATTTTACATAAAATAGATAAGCAACAAGGATTTACCGTGTAACACAGGGAACTGTATTTAATATCTTGTAAAAACCTATAGTGGGAAATAATCTGCAATATATATATATATATTTTACATAAATATATAAAACTGAACCACTTGCAGTGCACCTGAACAAGTAATACAATATTATAAATCAACTATGCTTCAATTTTTTAAAAAAAGTTTTAAAAAAAAGAATGAGAATGATTTGAATTAGGAAGGCATTTGAATTATGTCAAGGCATAAATTAATTTCTGCAAAATTATTCTAACTTATAGCATTTCCTTGCATTCTTATTGTTTGTTCTAAGATAGAAGTAATATTAGCACATAGTGATTAAACACTCAACCTTTATGTATTGAATTGATAATCTGCAATTTGAATTATGTCAAGGCATAAATTAATTTCTTCAAAATTATTCTAGTTTATAGCATTTCCTTGCATTCTTATTGTTTGTTTTAAGATAGAAGTAATATTAGTACATAGTGATTAAACACTCAACCCTTATGTATTGAAGTGATAATCTACAAACTTGGTCTGAGAGGTCATGGTATGATATCAAACTCCCAAGTCATCTAGTTATACAAGTAAATGAAGGCTGGAATTCTAAGCATTGTTAGAATTTGGGGATTGATACTCACATATTTGAGTAGAGAAACCACAAGAAATGAGAATGTAGATAAGTGTATTTAAATGGCAGACTATGAAATATATATGGCATGGTGCATTTTATATTGATATGACAAATTGCTAGATTATGGTTTCAGAGGTGTGATAAAGATAATTAAAAAGTAAGACTATATTTGGGATTGGGAAAGCACTTTTCTGAAGCTACTCACTGAAGCATTAACTGCTGTGTTTAGGCGAAGAGGAAGAGGAGGAAAACAAACTACCTCGAAGAGAGAGCATGAGACCAAAGAGGAAACGGACCAGAGATGTTATCAATGAAGATGATCCAGAACCTGAACCAGAGGATGAAGAAGCAAGGAAGGCCAGAGAGAAAGAGAGAAGGAGGAGGTTAAAGAGAGGAGCGTAAGCTAGTTCTGATCTATAATTGGCATTATTTTTCACTCAGAAGTGCCTGATGCTGAAAGATCACTCTTTAGGCACTCCCTAGCCTTAAAATTGGTGATTAAAACTACTTTCAAAAAAACAAGCTTAGTCTGATGCCACCATTTTATTTTACCTAGTTAAATGTATTTTAATATTAAAATAGAATTTTCAAATGAATATATATTGAGAATGGACTTATGAGAGATTTCCTTATAAGAGATCTAAATTGTCATGGGTCATTAATATAGTTAATTTAAATATTTTAATGTTATTCTATTAGTTAAATGCATCGTTAATGAAGTTAAATGAAAAACTTATAAACATGATCCCAAATCACGTATCTTACAGAGCAGGAATTGGAAAACTATGGTTAATTTAAACCCAAGAGTCAAGAATGGTTCTTATCATTTTAATCAAACTGTAATTAAAAAAAAATAAAAACAAAGAGGAATATGGGACAGAGCTGTATGTACCTCCCAAAGTCTAAAGTATTAACTATCTGTCCCTACAGAGGATTGGATTGTCCTTTCCTTTTTAACATAACTCTGTCTTTCACTTCTAGCAGGCCAATGATTTTCTGAGTGCTGCCTTTGTCTAGAATAATATATTAAATGCTGTTTAGGGGAAAAAAATCCAAGAAAATAATTTTCTGGTCTTTGCTTCCTGGAAAATTACAGATGGCAGGCAGGTGGAAAAACCATATATGTGAAACACATTTATTACTAGGAAACCTAGGCCACTTGGAAAGGATTCAAGAGAATAACTGCTCTGCTACCCCTAGGTGGGGCGTGGGACTCACCATGAGGTGATAGGATCTCTCCTCTGAAACAGTCCTAGAACTTTAAATGCTGAAGAGCTTTCCAAGATTTCCTCCCAAGATGACAGCTCGTGGTATTCAATAACTAGCTATTATTTGTGAATATTTTGTCAATAGAGAAGTTTAGCATTAGTCGATGATGGTTCCTGTTAAAATAAGAGTAACCCCACCCATTTCTTCATTGTATTTTTGTTGACTTAAGGTTTTAAATCTCTCTTTTCCTCTTCTTTCTCCTTCTCTTCCGTTTTCTCCTTCTCCCTAATTTCCTCTTCTTTCTTCTATCCTATTTCTTCTATGCTTGAATCACCTGCTTTTCGTTTTACTCTGATTTTTTTATGTCTATCTTCAAGTATTTTTATGTTTTGTTCTTTTCAAAAACAAAGCACGCTTTTAAGTTTCATGTCTTATTGTGATTGCTATTTCTATTATTAGGTAGTAATGTTTCCTACTAGCAAATCTGATGCTTTCTGACAGTGGTATTTCATTGAGGAAACATCACCAATAGACATATGAATGATATAGATTGTGTTCCAGAATTTGCCTTTTCCTCTCCACCTGTGCTTCAGAGATGTCGCTTTTAAAATATGACTCAGATGGGTATTCCTTTGCTTTCTTGGTCTGCTCAAGGCCCTCCGGTCAAGGCTCAACCTATAGAAATAGGACCGTGTGAATCAACTGGGTCTTGGCACCTGCTTCCTGGGGCAATCTTGTCCCTGTGACAGGGTTTGTCCTTAGCTGGTCCCACTCTCATCATGATTCTGAGAAGCCAGAAGCACCCATCTCCCTTCCTCCCCTCTCCTTTGCAGAACCAGTCTTGACTAAAATGAATTTTATCTCCATAGGTTTTGCAAATTATATTATTACCACCATAATTTTTACAACTATTTTAAATAATATAAATTACTTAATGATAATTGACAGTTTTGATCACTATTTCAGGGTCCATATTCTATCATTCACTTTGAAGATAAGCCCTTATGTTTTTAAGAAAATGTATTAGCAAGTATGTTTTGAGAAAGATTAGTAGGCAAATCATGGCACATTTATTTAGGTTAATTAATTCATGATCTTCTTTTATTTAAATGTTCATGTGAAACACCTTAGGGAATTTTTCTTGCACTGAAAAAACATTTGAAACCAACTAAATCCAAGGTTGTAATGCTAACTGTCTTTGGAGATGGTTAACAAAAACTGCCTTGTTTGGCATTTTGAAGTATTTCTAATAATATTATATGCTTTTCTTGACCCAGTTTTAAGTGAATAAGTAATACATTTATAGCAGTGAGAAATTCAGCACATTATGCCTCCTTTTTCCTAACAACTGTTGTTTAAATAAATCAAAACTAAGATAGAAAGCCATTCTTACACAAATTAGCCCTACATTTTAGAAGCAAAGCATGCCTGTGCTATGTGCTTTTAATATGATTAGCACTTTCTTTGAGTGGTTCCTGGAAAAGCAGTTTCCCTGTAATGCAATGTTTAATTATGCATTATTATATTTAAATTATGCAAAAAATGTAATATCTTAATTACCTGCATATTTGAAGGTAACTTAGCTGACAACAACTATACATTGTAGCACAGCGTGATCTTCCTGGAGCAATCGACAATTAACAACACAAAGATTAGAAATATACCAGTCTGAGATCATTTAGTGTAGGAATAAATATCTTTCCATAACTTGGATGACATTGTTATATTTTATTTTAGTGTACTTGTTGGTAATCCTGTCACCCAGAAAAATTCTGCACATAAACATTTATTTAATAAATATTTATTCAGCTCCACTTCTGTTGAAGATAATTTGCTAATTTCTTTGGAAGATATGGATATGAATGTGAAATTGCCTCCATTCTCTACAAATTAATAGTATAGTAATGGAGAGGCCACTTAAGACACAATTATTATGAAATAAGACTGTATAAATGTGCCAAAGAAGTGAAAAGTGATTTAGAGTCTTAAAGAAAACTATCTCATAAGGACAATCAGAAAAGGGTATTGAAGACATTTCATATGATTTTTGAAGGAGTCATAGAATCTGAATATGTTAAACATATAAAGTACTGAGTTTAAGACAGCAGGAAACTACATAATTAGTATTAGGAACATAGAGAAATGTAGAGAAATAAGCTTTAATTACAAGGTAAATCCAAACATGAAATAGATCATTCTTTCATTCTGTGTAAGTATTTTGTTATCTTTGTACAGCACCATAGGATTTTCTATGTGTGTGTATGCTTAATTGCTCAATCGTGTCCGACTCAGCAACCGTATGGATGGTAGCCTGCAAGGCTCCTCTGTCCATGGGATTTCCCAGGCAAGAATACTGGAGTGGGTTGCCATGCCCTCCTCCAGGGTATCTTCCCAAGTCAGGGATCAAACCCAGGCCTCCTGCATTGCAGGAGGGTTCTTTACCATCTGAGCTACCAGGGAAGGATTTTTATATAATAAACATTAAATATTTAAAATAGAAACACCTTAACAACATTCAGACTTGTATCTTAGTATGAGTGTACTTCCATAGTTCACTTAAACAAGGATTACTCTTCTAAGAAAAATATCTTAATTGGTTAAAAAAAATACCAACAAAACTATCAATGACAAATGTTATTTTAGAGGGTAGATTAAATTTCTGTTTCAGTAACCATGACCTGATTAAAAACTCTGGTTGTGGTTTAGTCGCTAAGTCGTGTCCAACTCTTTGTGACCCCATGGACTGTAGCCCACCAGGCTCCTCTGTCCATGGGATTCTCCAGGCAAGAATACTGGAGTGGGTTGCNATAAATAATCACTAGGCTAATAATAAATAGGTTACTGGAAAGGTGAAAACAAAACACTAAGTATCATGGTAATAGCAGCTATAGGAAGCAAATAGCACACCATGGGCTGGAGGAACAATGGAAAGAGGTTGAAATTAAAACCTGAAAGCATAGGGGAGAGACCTGGGGAGCTGAAACTACTGCAGAGGGGGCAATGCTCAAGGGGTGCTGGCGTCTCCAGGGCGAGTGATGAAACTGGTTCTGCTAATGTTGGGGAGACTGGCAAACTAGTCTCACCCGCAGCTATGGGAAGGCCCTGCAGCTCTTGGGGTGAAGAAGAATTGCTGAAGAGTGAGCATCCCACAAGAGGCAAATGGGAAGCCAAAGGAAAAACCAAGTCCCTTCTTAGTATACTCTATTGGCAGCCGATTATGACAGCAGAATATTGAGCCAACTGACAAACCAGAGTCACAGCCACAGCATCACAATATTAAGTCTAAAGGGGTAAATTGGAAGTTAAGTGACCATGTTGTTGTTGTTTAGTTACTAAGTTGTGTCTGACTCTTTGAGACCTCAAGGACTGCGGCATGCCAGGCTTCCCTGTCCATCACCAACTCCCAGAGTTTGCTCAAATTCATGTCCATTGTATCAGGGATGCTATCTAACCATCTCATCCCCTGTCACCTTCTTTTCCTTTTGCCTTTAGTCTTTCCCAGCCTCAGGGTCTTTCCCAATGAGTTTGGCTCTTTGCACCAGGTGGGCGAAGTATTGGAGCTTCAGCATCAGCATGAGTCCTTCCAATGGATATTCAGGGTTGGTTTCCTTTAGGATTGACTGGTTTGATCTCTCTGCAACAATAACTCATAACTGAAACAATCTCTTACCAAAAACATTGTTCTCTACAACAGGGCATTATATTCTTCAATTTAAAAACCTTGTCGCTCATGTTTAGATTTTGTTTTCTTTGAGTTTTGGACCCTTTGATATTTTTTGCAATACTAGGAACACAGAAGAGAAAAGATCCATCTCATTTGCTCAGTGAGAAACTAAATTCCTTTGAAGACCTCTTCAAAGGATTGACTTCTATCAAGTATACTTTGAGTTCAATTTTATCAATTGAAGTTTTGAGCTTAATTAACAGATTAAGTTACCTTAGAGGAATAGATTCTTTTTATTTTTTCCTATTTCAGTTTTTCTCTTTCTCTTGAGACAGGGCTAACAAATTTTTTAAGGGCACTTCAAAGGCACTTTCACCTCTAATTTACTATCCTTGTTGAAAAATAAAGTTTTTAAATGAAATGTAGAATTGGAGGGGGAAGGTATACAGTGGAACAAAGAAGAGAAGAAAATATATTAATAGCTTTTTATTTCCATGGATTTTCTGAGGATTTGAGACTATGGACATAAAATGGTTTCAGGACTTCAGAATACAAATACTATTTTTTAAAGTTACAGTAATTCCAGAAATCCTGCATCAGCATTCAACTACGAGCTCTAAGGCTTATGGATCTCAGCATTCACTGTATACAACCAAGTTGTTATGCATTAATCAGCTGAGTATCTGATAGCATTCTTTAACTTTGGAAGTCAGGCAAATCTTAACTTTACTAAAGAAGTTTTTTTTTTTTTAAGGGAAGAAGAAGAAGAAATAGATGAAGAGGAATTGGAAAGATTGAAGGCAGAGTTAGATGAGAAAAGACAAATGATTGCTACTGTCAAATGCAAGCCTTGGAAAATGGAGAAGAAAATTGAAGTTCTCAAGTATGATGCCACTTTTCATAATTAGAAACACTTTCCTTGCTATTGATTTCCAAAATTCTCTATTTCCTATACATTATAGATAATACTATATGTAGTACATCATTTATATAAAGCACTCATTATGTATAATGTTCATGGCCATATATACATAATGTTAACATATGTTAACATATGATATGTTAACATATCATACATGTACATATATACACACACACATATGTACATATGTATATATCACTAGAGAGGCTGGGATAATGATTATAAAAGAAAACAACCATAATTAAATTCATTATTTGGAATCTTACAACCTCTGATCACCTTTAATCATTTGCTCCTTGAACTGAGAATTTCGTTAGTTTAATACACTCATTACTATCTCTCTGAAAAAGATACTATATTTGAATTTTACAAGTTTGTTGGATTGCACGCTCTAGTTTCTCTGCAGGGTTCCAGCATCAAATGATGTATTCATGTGACAGCTCTTATTAAAGCACAGGGAGGATAGTAAGCCAACAGAACAGTAAACGGGATTCCAATTAAGGCTTATGCTAATAGCTATTCCCTGGTAACATGTCAGCAACCTAGTTTCACTCTGATGTTGAGTGTTGATGCACTCAGAGACACATAGATTTATAAACTCTTGATAAAAAAAAAGTCAAATGATTATCCCTTTCCTGGGACTGCAAGCGGATTTGCCTCAGAGGATCACACTTTATTTCCTTGCCATAGTGGTTGGGGAAGCGGGGCATGAATAAAAAGGATGTGTCTGTGATAACAACCATGTTTGCATCTCACAGATGTGCTACAGATTGCATTTTCCCCACAGAATCAGTTTTATAAATGATGGTAAATTTCCAAAGCTATCCCTCCACAAGTCTATTTAACTAATAACATTAAATGTTTAGTGTATATATAATAATGTTAAAATTAGAGAAAAATGTTTCTGTCTCTGGTGATGAAAAAAGAACTGAAGCAGCTATCAGGGTAATTCACTACTAATCTTGGCTCTGGAAGAGGCTGTGCATTATTTAAAGAAATAGCTTAAACTTCTGGGACCTCAGTTACCCTGTATCCAAAATAAAACAAGATATTCCAGCTTTCCCCTATGATGTGGGAACCTAGGTATCATTTCTAACAGTATTGTTTTGTGGAATAAAGTTTTCCAAGTTCCAAAGAGTGGTCTTCCCAGAAAACTTCGGGAACACCACACAGCTGTAGACTGGGAACTGCCTATGCTTGTTCATGTATACCAGTCACAAATGAGGTCAAAGACAAGTAGCATTTCTGCTTCCATGAAGCTATTAATGTATATGCATGTGCATATACGTGTGTGTGTGTATGTGTGTCTGTTAAAATAGTTTCCATTCAATGAAGTGATAGTGATGCTAAATAATAGGTTTAAAAAATATCCTTACTTAGCAAAATAGAAGTTTGGCAACCTTATGTTGGTTCCCAAAATATGTCTTAACATATTGCTGACCACGAAATCCCCAAACCTGGAAACCACAGGTAACTAACTGTATGTGGAAAGTTGTAAAATTATATAGTAATAATATTTTGAACTTTCAAAGCATGGTATGAAATTGAATAAAAATGCCAAGAAATATATCCTCCCTTTCCATTTGCATGGAGGTGTAGAAATAGCCCTTGCTCTTCCTGTCTGCATTTCCCATATAGAGCAGTGGAGAAGGGATGGGCATCAGGCTTGAGTTTGAATCTCTAATCTTCCATTTAAAAGCTGTGCAAATTTGAACGAACTGTGTAGTCCTCTGACCTCAGGTTTCATATGAAATTTGACTAATTTACAGGGTTACTGGACTCATAAAGTGGGTTCTTTCATATGAAACACAAATCAGGGTGCCACAATATTGCACAAAGCTGGGAACCACAACTTGTAATTATCATTTTATCTCAGGACAGACTCAGTGTTGCCTGATTCCCTGCAGTATAACAGGAGAGATGGGGATGTATAGGGCTTGGCAAGATTGGGTGGGAGCATCCTTAGCCATAGGCAGCCCCAGGAGCCTTGGGGGCTGGTGGCACATCAGTATAGCAGTCGGGACAGTCTGGCAGGATGGACAACTGATTTTGATGCTCCAAGAAAGAAAAGAGGGTATCTTGACAGTTCAGCAGAATCTGTGGTCAGCCACTTCTAGATTTTTCAAAACGTACCTATAAGGTCATCTTGTAGCAGATTCCAGATCCTGGGGCCTTAGGCTGGAGTTCAGGGATTTAGCCATTTTTAGACACAGGGAGAGATAAAGATTGGGATGGAAGGAAGGGCACCACAGGTCCTATTACTAGAGCAGAGGTAAAAAATGGGGAGTCTGCAGCTGAATCTAGATTATAAATGGTTTTTATTTGGCCCAAATGCTTTTTGCTTCTTTTTCTTTTATTTTTTTAAATTACGATTAAATATATGTAACATAAAATTTAACAGTTTAATCATTTAATAAGAATCATAATTTTTCTTCTTAAATTTAAAAAGTAGATTTCACATTTTAAAATTCAGATATTCATCTTTTCCTTGACAGGAGGACAGTCTGGTCCACATTGCTACATGAAAATAATAACTGGGGCTAGGCAATTGCTGTCCCCTACTAACAGGTATTCACTCTTCAGTGTTCACAGTTCCCAAACAACCCATATCACTTATTCATGCTCCTTGGCTGGACCTTATAAGCATTCATTTGTTGCCTCCTACACCATGCATCTGGGGAGCAAGTTAGGCGTGCTACCGAGACAGTGATTCAGAAAGTCGGAGTGAAAGCCAGCTTGCAGAATGGAAGCACAGATTTGGGCCCAGAGAAGAAACAACTGTGGATTCTCACCTGTCAGCAATGCGCATTGTCTTGTGATGATTCTCTGTAGCCAGAAATGGCTCCTGCTTTGTGGCTTTGCAGTATTCTGCACAGTGGGTGCCATTGGCCACGATCAGCCTGATTCTCTTGGTTTCAGCCTCTGTGATAAAATTGTTGGTACTACAGTGCCTGACCTATTTCCCTTTGCAGGTTTCTGAATTCTGTATTGACGTTCTCCCCCAGGGGTCCCAATTACATACTAGAATCAATACTTCATAGTATTTATATGCAGGTAAAGTTTTCCCTGGGGCTTCCCTGATGGCTTAGAGGTAAAGAATCTGCTTGAGGTGCGGGAGACATGGGTGCAGTCCCTGGGTTGAGAAGATCCTCTAAAGAAGGAAATGGCAACCCACTCCAGTATTCTTGCCTGGGAAATCTCATGGAGTCACAAAGAGCTGGACATGACTTAGTGACTAAACAACAACAATAAAGTTTTCCCTACCCCAGTGTTATTAAAACATGGGAGCCAGGCGTCTTTCCTCCCACCATTTATTCCTTTCAGAGACTTCAAACTCTGACAGAGTGTGTCAGTGGATTATGTTATTCCCGGAAGTAGCCTCCAGTCATCACTTCTGGCTAAGTCGATGGAATCCAAGACACTAGGCTCAATATAACTGGAACAGATATTTTCATCGTAGGTTTGGATCTGTATCTGGGTTCCAAGTCTTCCCATCTGGCTCTGGACTCTGAAAAACTTGTGAAACTTCTAAAAACAGATTTTTACAGAGGGTCAGGGTTTTAAGACGTGTTTTAGAGTAAAGCCTCAGGAATGGAGGCTTATGGTTCTGAGGATAAATATTGTGGGAGACCCAGGTACAGTTCTCATAAGCCATACTTCATCTTGGGACTCTCAAAAATTTTTGGAGATGGTCTTGTCCATCTCCAAACCTTCATGGTCATCATTGTCAATAACCAATGATTTCTAAATCAAAGAGCTGGAATTCAGATTTTGACTTCAGATTGTGGAGCTCCCTGATTTTTTTAATCAAAAGCTTTAAAATTTTGTTATTATAATTACTGTAGCCATTGAAAGCTTTGAACATAGAGATGACATGTTCAAAGTGGTATTTCAAAAGAAACTTAAAATGCAAAGTTATTCCTATTGTACAGATGAGAAAACTTTACAGAGGTAAGGTAGCCTCACACAGCTAATAACTATTAAGGTGAACATTCAAATCCAGTTTTATTCATCTGCAAAACCTCATAATTTTCCTACTGTCATACTACTTCTCATTTGAACCATGTTTTCCAGCAAAATAGTCTTCCCTAGACACTCTGGTAGACTTGCTCACTTTGCTTCAATCCCCTCTCCATTTGTCTGCACCCTATGCTTCTTTCAACTGAGTTCTAGCCCCTTCATGAATTATTGTCTCCCTGTGGTCTTCTCTCTGCCAAATCCTATAGAAAGAGAACTCAGATGGTCTCTCTATTATTCATTTATCTCTGTTGTTATGCTGCATTATATTGTATTTTAAAATTGTATATAAATCTCTTTTCCTTTAGAATAGATTTTGAGCTCCTAAGAAGATGACAGGGGTCTGACAGCTCTTTATTTCTTCAGGGTCTAGCCTTGTACTCTGTGCATCATAAGCATTCAATTACTGTTTCCTGAGTATCACTGTTAATGGTGACTTCTTTTGTTTTTGGACACTCATTCCCAAACCAAGAGAATCATTAACAAGACTGAGACCTGTTAAAGGCCTAGGTAAATGTGTGAGTAAAAGACAGGAATGTGCTGAAACTTTGATTCATAGTGTTTGCCAATTTCCATGGTGTAAATATTCCCATTATGACTAATTTCAAACTACTAACAGTTTAAGAACCAGCTCACAAAAGTCCTGAAAATTTAACAGTCAGTGGCTGAGTCAGCTGCAGCACCTCAATGGGGGGATCTAGCTATGCCTTTTGATTGAGCTTATATTAGAGAGATCTTAATCTGGGGCAGTTAAGAGCAGAAGCTAAAGAATAGAACCTATTTATTATGATAGAACATGTTTCCTTTGTTTAAATTCTAACCTCCAATGAAATGCTTAAATTAGGACTACCTGTGAGAAAAAAAAAACATTATTCTATAATTTGAGGACTCTAAAGTTCAAAGTGCTGTCAACTGATGATAAAAAACAAAAAGTCCCCTGTACA